GGATAACGAACCGTTGCACATGGTATTCATATTTGTTCAATTATCACGGATTAAAACGGAGTTATTTTTGAAATGTTTGTGCGTTCCATGTGACCCAAAGCAAATCTAAACAAATATTATATATAATTACAATTATATGGGGATTTACTTTTTGCTTTGCAACTTTACGTCATCCGTAGCTGAAATGAAAAAAAAAAATTTTTTGGAAAAAAAAAGCAGGCTTTTCTCTTATCACCAACCACTACTGCGTATATTATATAATACATTCTTATCCTTTTTGCGCCGGACCTGTCTAGCGAGTTCAACCATGCTGCAATGGCTCTAGCAAGCTGCACGGTAATCAAAGTATGCTACATCTCTTGGAGTGAACGCTCTTCTCGCATGTCGATACAAGCTCCTACATCTTGGCAATTGTCAACTTCTTCCGGGCGACCATCACAGCGCCCAACTATTTCCTACCGAAAAGAGAGATGTAGGACGCACATTCACAACAATTGTACGAAGGATAGCTTTAATTTTGTACTTTGAACTGATATAGTCGATGGATCCGCTGAGTGAGAGTTATGGTCGCCGAGGAATATGAGCAGGTTATGGGAATGCGCGCAAATTCCGAGTTTTGAACTGTTCTATGATCATACTCCGTGGCGCTTGCAGGGCTGAATAGTAGGACCTACACAACCATATGGCGTAAGTTAGAACAAACAGTTACAAACAAGAGGTATTGCACCGCCGGTTGACGCACAGTGATGACCGATGCTGAAATCATAACAGATAGTTATAACCGATCTATCCCTTCCCAGTGTGTTGTTGTCCCTCTGCTCTGGAAATGCATTTACGTTCAAACGCTTCCTATTATCCCCTCTCTGCAGCTAGTAAAGAATCAAAGCATGTGATGTTCGTTACAACCCGCCCATAAATGAATATTGTAAATAGCATTCTATAAGAATATTATACAATATTGGCATTTTTCTTGTATTCACGAAAACCTTTTTTTGATGCCCATTTTCAGTTATCTGGCGCATGTGACAATTTATCTAATAAAGATTCACAATTTACTTGTCCATCTGCTTTTGACAATGAAGAAAGATGAAAAAAATTTTCCATTTATTGGCACAAGCGCTATTTTTGATCGTGCATCACATGACAAACACATAATCGACCACCATTAACTGACGTGCACCCCATTCTGCTCTGACAGATCAATCCACTCTTTAAACTTTGTTGTGTCTTGCTGCTCCTCCTTTTGCTGTCGCCATTCAGCATCAGTGATGGCTCTCTCATCTTCAATCTTTTGCTTATAGTAAGGATAGAATTGGTCCCATGGCAACAGAAAACTAAACTTGGAATCATATATATGTTTCTCCCGTATTTTCGTTTCCAGACAGGGCCCGCATCTTGCAACATACATGGATGTTTTGTCGATTATTTCTCGCACATCTAGAGGCGGAACACTTTAGGATAAGATATGCAACTGTTAAAATGGAGATATGACAATGGAACAAACGTAACTGCAGGCGTAACAGAAAACGTAAAAAAAAAAATTCCTGCTTTGCTTACACGACAGGTCCAATGTGTTTGGATATCCCTCGTGACTTTGATCTCCATGGAGTTTCGGACGTGGCACAGAATTCCAAATAATAATCGTCGAGAGCATCGAGTATAGTCCTATTCTCATCACTCGTCTCTGGTTTTTCTTCCTCTGCTACTTCATTCCCATCTTTCGTAACCTCCTCTGTCTTTTTCTTGTCTTCGTTTTCATTCTCTCCATCATCCTCAGCTTCACCCTCGCTCTTTACCTCTGCATCCTTCCTCTTATCCTCCGACTCTTCCCCTCCCTCGACTGCAGCAGCCGCAACCTCATCTTCATTGTCGCTACCACCATAATCGAACAATCCAATCCTTAGCTGCACCCGTACATGACGATAGTAAGGATATAACGGATCGTCTTTGTTTAAAAATGAAAAGCTAGGGTTATTTGCTTGCTTGGCTTGGATGACTATTTCCATCTGTGCATCATTGCTCGTATTGAGGAACCTAGCTGTGCGTTCGACGATTTCATCTATACGCTGGTCAGACGGCTGTATGGAACGATGACAGAATAGTAGGACAAGAAATGATATTGTCCGATGTGGTAGTTAAAGAGAGGTATATAAGTTCATAGAGCATGGACTCGAAGAAAAAGACAAACATCGAACGGAATAATTATCCAAGATGATATGAAGAAGATTATTCATACAATCAGGCTGTCTCGGTCATGTTTATATTCTATAAAACATGCATCAAGACAGCCCGATAGAACGTGTATGGAGATCCAATTAACGAGATCATAAGAATGGAGCAAATCAATGCCCCTTGATTCATATGATGTTCTTCTTCTTCCTCCTAATAACAGATATCTATAACTGAGATTATGTTTATGGTTCTATTATTGACAAATAATGATGACATACTGTTGCCATTCCCTCAGGAACAGTAAATTTGGCTACATAAGCCTCCCCAGTTGCAGATTGGTTCTCTGAACACGAACATAAACGACAAATAAATTAATTGAATCAAACTTTTGTCTCAGGAAACATGTCATTGTGTTAACCAACCATCTTTCGGCCCTTCTTCATCTCCCTCTTTGCATTCGTTTTGTTTTTCAACTCCTTCAGAATAATCATAGCTAATCTCGTTCCCCTCTGCTGCTCTCTGCTTCTGTCTTCGCTTCTCCTCTATAATGTTCGCAGAAAATTTTTAAGTCGACAGATAACGCATGCCAGAGTCCCACTCCTTTTAGATTCCCTTATCGGATCATTCTATCCTTAATTCTATTCGTCTCTCGTCTCATATCCGTCAGCAGTCCCTTAATTACCAATATAAGGCTCCCTCTCTTCCTCCTCCAAATAATATAAATCTTCCGCATCCGAATCCAAATCAGCCCACCGCTCTTCCTCACACAATCGGTCTTCTTCAATTTCCTCTACCGTTTTTGTTAATGTATATACTCCTTTACGGAACTGTCCACGATCGTCAAGAAGATTCCGTACATCATATCTGCGAGTTGAAAGGAGGAAGGAATTCGTTTGATGCACCAAGAGGGAAGAAACGCGAAAGAGTATCGACGGGGTTTTTAAAGTGACAACAAGGAAGACGAGAAGTTAGTGAGTTGTCGTGAGAAAACGGGAGAGAGAGAATGGGTGAGTGAGGGTGGGGTGGATCAGGAAACACGACTGTGTGAATTCGTTGGTATGTACTCTACTCATCATTTGGTGCCAAAATGGTTCGTTGCTCACGTGTGATAGCCGACAATCTCGATATATATACTCGCGATATATCTGTTTTACCCGCTCCCCATCAAACAATTTCCTGAGAGTATATATATATCACAATCAAAAAGCCCCGAAACTAGCTGAATGTTTATTTTCATCCTTGCCCCTCACACCTTCCCCTCACAACAGCAATCGCCAAAAAATCAACTGCATTTTGCGTTTTTTCACACGATTACATCGTCAGATATGCAGTTTTTACCCACTGTCAAAGCGACTATTACCTTCAACCTTCTAAGAGAATTAGTCATTGAGTCATAACAAATACACAAGAAAGAACTTAATTACTTTCGATCGCAAACAATGTGCCTTGAAGGGGGGGAGGACGTTCAAATGAAGAACTAACTCCAGAGGAAAAATGCCTTTACTCCAAAGAGTTTTTCCCCTCCCCCTCTCTCTTTGGATGCAATAATTATTCTAATCATTTCTGGGGTGTGTTCCCTAACGATTTTTGCTCCACCGAATGTTTTCCTCACTCACCTATCCAACAAAATAACATTCTGCGTCTCACCCCTCCACGGTATTAACAACTCTCCAGTATTGACTTTCTGTGCCATTTCGTCATCTTTAAATACTTTAGACTCGTATCCAAATATTAATAGATCCTCGTATTCCTTTTCAAGCTCTCCGACTAACTTTTGTTTCTTGCGCTGGTGCTTATTCTTCCGTGACTTGTATCTTGTTGAATAATCAGGCCGGGTAGAAGGTCCTTGGTCTTGTGTAGAGTTTTCGGGAAATAGAGTTTCACTAAAGAACATGCTGTGTGTTGTGGAGTCGGGAGAAAAGAATGGATTAACGCTATAATTAGAGTTGGGCCAAAATTATGTAATTTTGATGCATAGCCACAGTACATGTAACCGTTGAGAAATTTTCGAACATTCCAGAATAAACCACAATTTTCGTACTACAAAAATTTAATTTTAACAACACGGTCAACTCACATTTTGACAACCCTGGTTCAGAATAAGATTACCTACAAAAGTGCAAGTAAAATCCAAGAGACATATGATGTCTCGGTCGAAACATTGCGACGATGGGCCACCTCCGGAAAGGTTGCCATATCTACTAAATTCCTGCCTTGTATTGTCGGCATTATACGTGTATAGTGCATAAGTCTAATTTGTAAATTATATAAATTGAGTCAGCTCATTACCAATATAGGTTTAGCAACTGCATTATGCATTGCCCGAATTTGTTATAAAAAAGACTTGTCCCTCGCTTGTTTTTATTTTTATCAAGCATTTCATCTGCTATGAACGCGAACAACAAACAAACCTCGATTCCTCACTCTAAAGACAAAACAAACTAATGTATTCGCACAGCCACATTTCACCTCCGGAATGGTTGCCCAACCCACACAAAAGGCCAAGGCAAGAGTCAGTTCAGAGCATCAACGAGACGACCTCGAACGACACGAAATTATCAGGACATCGGTTCAGGAAAGTGCAGGGGTGTTGTATCCTTTTGGAACGAGTATACGCTAGTGGTTACCCGAAAAGACCACTCGTGTCACTTTGGATCTGAACTTGTAGAGTGGATTTTTGAAAAAAAAATGGGACACGGCTCGTGTTTGTGGCGCGACATAATGGACTACGTTCGGCCGCAAATCGCAGAAGGAGAAGAGAAGCTGCCCAAGAGGTTCAAGAAGGCAGTGAAGAAACCTTCAGCAGGCATGGTCCGACGTATTTGCAACTCATAAGATGGATGGGAACAGCATGATGGACATACAATCGGTCCTTACCGCGGTCGAAAAAGAAAGCATCAAACGAGCAAAGAAGGACAACCTTGTCTATGGTAAAATTGTAGTTGTCTCATAGCTATTACTATCTCTGTCTGTTTATAACCAAGATATTTATGTGGGAATCTGATCACAAAGATAAAAAAGCATATAATTTTAAACAGACATGGCTTGTTAATTAATATTAAATGTTTTGCTCACAATGTGTATAAGTTTACTTATCATTACAGTTGTTGTTGTCATATTGTTATCAAAGAGAAAATTCATGTCAACATCAGTGGAAATAACATAATAGTGTTATTTCCACTTAGTTTAGGTTATTCCCACTCAGGTATGTGTCGTGACGACAGAAATGCGACACCGTCGTCAGTGTTGTGACGACAAAAATATGACATCGTCGTCAGTATCGTGATATATATTTTATGACACATTTTTGACGTCAAAAATATGATACTGTCTTCAGTGTCGTGATATAAATATTCGTATATCAGTTTAGTGTTTCTGATCAATTTCCAATGAAAAAAAAAATCCCAAGCTTAAGCTTACAGCTAAAGAAATACGCAAAAAATGCTAACGCGAGTTCATCACATCTTTTCCGACTCCGAAGAGAATTAAAAAGCCTTGGTGCTTCACCTGCAATAATCGATGCTACAAAATTCCCCGATATTACAAAAGAAGCTAATGAAATCCAGCAGAATCGACGTGAATTTGTCGAGGCATTCGAGAGAATTGATTATCCAGACCACTTTACGTTAGAATCGGTCAAAGAGAGGTTGGATAGTTATAATATATCTAATCCGCCTGATTTACAAGCCCTCGCAGATGTTATGATAATGCGCCCGCTGAACTTATAACTTTACGCATTACAGACGCTGGAGCGGTGGGTTATGCAAAGAACAGGGGTCAACCAGATATTCCTAGAAAATTTAGATCTACGGAGAAGAACCAAGAACGAGCCAAAGAACTACTCACTTGGATTCAGCGTGCTATATCATCTGGACGAGTGGGTGATCCAGGTAAGCCAGGAGTTAAATGGTTCAATAAATTCTTAAAAGATTATGATTTAATTCCTAAATATTTACGTAAATTAGGAGCAGTTTATGCTGTAGTGATGCATGGAGCGCAAAATTTAGCTCATGCTATGACAATCGCTGGAGAAGCCTTACGTCACAAACCTGACAATAACACCTCACCAGCACAAAATTACGTTATTGTCAATTATCGGAGAAAGAATCAACTACCTGAAGAAGCGAGACCATTCCGATTCTATGATAACTAATCACGCTTCTTTGCTTCGAAAACTTGTGTACGTATTTCATTCTCGTCGATGCTAGAATATTCAGAGCCTGATTCAGTTGAGGATGAAGAGGACGAATAATTATGAATGCACTTTTTCTTTTTTACAGATATGACACATTGTTTTTTAGCAATATCTGGGTTTGCTATCGAGTTTATAATTTCTAGCCCAATATCGGGTTTCACTATCTCCAGTAATTGACGGAGAGAAATCGAAATTTTTCTATGTGATATCTGTCTAACAATTTTAGATACTAATTTCGAGGTATTATTGCCAGAGGCAACTGTTTCACAGCTATTGTTAACCATTGGATTTTAACTGATTTATTATTAATACACAGAAAAAATATAATTAAATATATTATCATAATAAAACACAATTAGAATTTTATCTTGCGAAATTAATAAAATTATATTAGATACGTCAGAAGTAGCAAATATATAATGAGTTATAGCAGAGTATTGCAAAGCAATGACCCTTCGGGTCTACGAGATAGGTTAAGTGAATATGGTGTAAAGTATATTGTTAACAATATTAAAACGTCAGAAGCATGGTTACGGTTTGCAAAATATTATCCACCAAAATATATACGCAAGCGTTTATTAAAATTAGGATATGAAATAAATAATAGAGATTACTGGGAAAATTTTGTATTTTGTATCAAAAATAATTTAACCAGCCATAAACAAATAGGTAATGACCCTGAATATAGGAATTTTAAAGTTCAACTAGCATTGTATAAAAAAAACTGTGCGTCATTAATTATCCAGAAGACATATCGTTTATGGAAAAAACAAATTAATTCAGCTAAAATAATTCAACATGCAGTATTTATAGACCTGGTGGATCATTTATGAAGCAAGCCAAAGATCGATATTATCAAAATGCAAATAAGCTCCATCATTAGATAGAACAGATTTATTTTCTGCAACCAATAATTATATAAGAGAGAATGGTGTGAATATTCTATTTATTAATGCTAATTTAAAAATACAGAATTAAATATATTGTTATAATAAAACATCACAATGATAACTTTATTCTGCGAAATTAATAAAGTACCAGTTACAACTATATTAGGTTCCGTTGCTAATTGTAATATTATAGCTGAGGAGGTAGTATACACACCCATTGGCAAACTCGATGTAGTAGGAGTAATTCGTGAAATGCCTATTTCAATCCCGTCTCAGGGCCCTAAATGGAAACAAGTAAAAGTTACCGATATTTTTGTTGTTAGTATTCCTGAACATGTACTGATGTTAGGGAGCTCATGGTTTAAAGATAATGCAATAAAGCTGGACTTCCCGAATAAAACTCTTACATTACTCGATGGAACTAGTTGCGAGGTTAAGTGTAATTAAGAATATCCGGAAAATGCATAGTATATATGCCTAAAATTAATTATCCGAACATTAGTTATTTTTTTCCGATTAAAGATATATAATATACATTACTTGAAAATGGCGCAACTATTGCGGAGCAATGACCCAAAGGGTCTAAATATTTTTGATTTACCGGAATTACTAGAACAAATCTTATATTTTTTAGAAAACGATCGATCCCTCTATCCTGCTTTATTTGTTAACCACCTTTGGTACCACTGCAGTGCTCCTATTCTATGGCGTCGCGTTGAGTTTTTCAACGAAAATTATCAGCAGAGTCGGCATGCCTTAAATATGTCTCGGGTTCTTACTCGGTGATTGATAAACTTTAAAAGAGTTATGCGTAGAAAAATAAAGCCACTCTATTGTTCAAAGATGGTATATCTCAGGTTAGAAGGTTTAAAAATCTCAGATACATTGATCAATGCAATTTTACATTCATGTCCGAATATATACTTTCTCATTCTTGATAAAAGTAAGGGTTTCACTAATATACCAATTATAGAAATGGCGAGATTTTCTCCGAAACTACAGCATCTGAGTCTTAATTCATGTATATGTCTCACTAATCGATGTATCACTGAAAT